TGAAATTTTCTCAATGAGAAGTGTTAATGAACAAAATATAAATATACATATGTATATTAGATATATTGCATGTACGCATTGGAGCGTGTTCATTTACAAGGATCAAAAAAAAGGGAAAATTGCGTATGCGGGAAATATTCTATGGATCCTAAAATCGGGTTTGAGCCGGCAATTTATAAGGCAAAGTTTGGTCGTCAGGTTTTATGATCTCCGAATGAAGTTTTAAACGTAGGTACATTTTAATATTCTATTGGCAATTTGTCGTCATCATTTGTCTCCCATCTGATTATTCAGATTTTTTAAACTTCGCTATTTCGAAATCTGTTTTTGAGCCAGATTCTCTTAGGCAAAGTTGTACATAATAATCCGGAGACAATTTCTCTCACACAAGATTCATAGAAATCTCAGACATAATAAGACCAATTTCAACCATATTTGGTTTGTGAAATTATTCAAATATTCTTAGCGTACATTGTGAAGATAGGCGAATTTTAATTATTCCATATTATTATTATATTAATGATCAAATTTTTAGGATCAACGGGCTATGTGATCTACTCAAATTATTTTTTTTACAAATAAGCAAAAATAAAGTAAAGTATGATTGGCAAAATTACTTCCGTAAATATGATATATGGATTTATACAGAAATACAAATGCGTTGGACTCATTTTATTTAAGTTTCAATTTTCGTTATTTTTTTTGGTTTGAAGTGCAGGATCAAAGTTATCTAGTAGTTATCTATTCTCATGGATACCCTACGTAGTGATTCGCTCCTGTAAGGCACTAAATAATTAGCTCGACCGGTGATTAAATATTATATAATTTTTTTCTCATAATTGGGAAGATGTTAATTAATAGATTCCCAGGAGTTCATACACTTATGTTCCATTTTTAAATATTTAAATATCAAATATTTTGTATATATTTTTACAGGATATTTTGAATAGAAATATTTTATGGTTCATTTAGTAGTATACATAAGTACATGAATATGACTCATTTAAAAGAAATTTCTAGGAATCAAAATTGATTTATGTTCCTGATTTTATTAGCGATAAAATTAAAATTGGATTAAGGAAGTTGCAATATATACATATACTATATATTATGTAAACGTACATATTTTGTACTTATAAATCTTATATTATTAATGATAATTAAAACACAAAAAATTGGTGAAGTCCCTTACTTTATATACATATGCATATATGTATATACTATTTGTGAACAAAATATTTAAGCTTATTAGTACAGTAATTTTCTAGATTGGCGTTATAATATATAATATAATACTACTATGAACAAAAAGTAATAAAACTTTCTTCATAATTTAAAAATTCTTAATGTATCCACCAAAAGCTATGTCACCCCCCTAAAAGTAATCCAACTTGACTCCAACACACTTGTGCTAACGTTTATTCCAATTGACAGTTTGGATAGTTTGACAGTTTGGTTGCTTGGAAGGAGTTGGGTGTGTGACAACCAAGGCCAACTGTCAACATAACACTGATTTGACCTGCTTTGATGAGTTTTTTTTTCGACTTCGGCTCACTTTTGCCTTAGATCGAAGACTCATCGCTCGTAATAATACGTTTTATGACATTCTGGTAGTCGGAACCAGTCATGCTTACACTTCTCTGAGGGCCAAGTCACATTTCAAAATGGTTTTCACTGATCCTTCCGAAATTCCAACGATACCAGTAAAACCTCTGACTGATAATCGTCGATTCTCAAGCAGCAATGATTTTATTTTATTGACTGTTGATGTTGATGGCCTTCCTGGATGTGGTTCGTCGTCAACGCGTTCTCGACCCTCTTTGAATAATTTGTACTAATCACAAACGTAAACAAAATATTTAATGGATCTTTTTTTTTTGAATAATTTCGCTCATCGTAAAAAGCGCCGAATGCACTTGATGTACTTCAGAAACACAAGAGCATACTAAACACTAGATATTATTTTGATTGACATTTGGTACAGATGTCACTGACAATCAAAATGGGTTTCGCACGAAATTTAAATTTAAAAGTCTTACTACTTTTTTAGTACACTTGCCAAAAGCCGTTTTATAAAACATATGAAATTTTATGAAATTTTTCCACGGAAAATATCGTGGCTTTTAGTAGTATTTTTGAGACCAATGTGCTACTATTACTACTACTATACTTCGCCCTATATCTTAATATTATATATAAAAATCACGTTTCACGTTGTTTGTTCGCGATGGACGCCTAAACTACTGAACCGATATTAAATTTGATTGCACACCGTGTGCAATTTGATCCAACTTCAGAGACAGGATTGCTTACGTCTCAATTCATAATCACATTATGATATTATTGCAAATTATTTGTCTATTATTTGACAGTCACAATTATTTGTTAGCTCCAAAAGATTCTAACAGATGGCAATATTTATTGATTGGATTGAGTAGGCATTCAACAGATGATATTAAATTTGCTATGCATCAAATCACAATATATGATATATGTATTTTGATGATAAGAGGTACTAAGGCTCCAAGATATACATACATATGTAACTAAATTTGGTTATCGAGCTTTTTATTTTCCGCTTGCTTCTCATGTTATTGATTTATTTATTAATGTAAGTCATCGATTTACAAAAACTTATTTGCATATAATTTAACGGCGTTTAATAATGCTATCTAAAAAAATTAATTAATATACTACTGTGATCAAATTGAAAGGGGAATTTTGTCCATTTCATTTCCTTCGAAGTAATCCTCTCTCGTTGCAATACACTAATGCCAACGAATTTTCGAATCAGAGGTTTCTTCGATTCAGCTTTTATATCCACAATTGAGTCAAAAGAGTGTCCTCGGAGTAGTCATGTGAATTTGCTGAATAGCCAGAAGTTACACGAAGATAAATCAGGCGAATGCGGGGGTTACGGCATGATATTATTTAAAAATGTGGCAAAACGATAACGAATAACCAATGCAGTATGAGATGGTGCATTATCGCACTTCTTTGTTCAAAAAATGCAGACATAGGAAAAATCGAAGAATTCACTTTTAGAGTCTCACAAAACGATGCGTATCTCAAATACTAATGAATATTTTGACGTGAAAATTAGCATAGATGTCAGTAATAGTAAAACCAACTTACCAATTCAAAAAACACGTAAAGTGTTAAAAAATTATAAAAAGCTCCCCATAATTTTTTAATAATTGTGCAAATATTTTTATTTTCATTACTTTTATTCAACTTCTATTAAAACTTATTTTGCACTCCTCATTGAATGTGTTATAATAGCATGTTTTTGAGTTTTTTTTTAATATTTAAACGTTTAAATTATTATCGAATGCCACCGAAGAAATGTAACCTCAACAACGCGCGATGCAGACAAGCACGACGCAAGCGTGCTGAAGGAGCATTAATTTCTTGAGGAAAAAAGTGAATTGATTCAGAGTATTTTTCCGAATATACAGAGTAATGAATCATAACTGGCTCAGTGGCCGCGCTATCTTGGCAGCCAAAAATGTTGATGTTGACGAAATTAACTTCCAATTGCTACATGAACCATGCTACAAAAACCATATTATCTTCCAATGATACCATCGGATTCTACGATATCCTTCAGGAGGCTACAACTTCCAGTTCGTTTAGCTTTTACAATGATGATAAATAAATCTCACGACCAATCAATGTTCATTTGTGATTTAGATTTTGAAAATCCATGTTTTTCTCAAGGGCAACTATGTGTTGCATGTTCACGAGTAGGAAAACCGTCGAATCTATTTGTGTTAGCTAAATACGGATTAACCAAAAATATTTTGCACCAAGTGCTAAATTAATTTGAGATTAAAAGTATTGATAATTCATATTGAATATTATTCTTAAAGATTTAAAACTATTTGTTAGAACTTTAGATAAAAAAAACATATTTTTAATTAGTTCATTTGTATTAACTCTTGCTAAATTCAATAGTACGAAAATTTTGTTCAATCGTTTTAAAAGTACTTCTCTTTCAAATTCCAATTCAGTGGACTTTTATACCAGCTTTAACGTTTCCGTCTTCGTTCGTACATAATAGTTCCTTTTTATTAGGGTGTAACTGTTCCCCGTGAAGAGTTTACTACAATGTCTGCTAGTATGTATAGATAAATCAAATTTAGATTGATTTAAATTTTTCCCTTCATGCCCATAAAAAGTTTCAAAATTTATCTTTTTACCTGTCACTCTATAAGATGGAAGAAACAATAGTGAATATTGTTCGAGAAGGTCTCAAGTGAAAATATAGAAACCAACCAGTGTACACACTTGGTATATTCGCAGTATAGAATACATATACATACATACATTCATTCAAGTAAATTTTAAACTTTTTTAAAGATAATAAAATTAAACTCTGAAATGCTTAACATGCCTAACAAAAACATTTATTGCAAAATATAGTTTGTGCTTATTTTCTCTTGACATTTTTTGTGTATTTTTATATTTTATCCACAACACAATATATGGTTTGCTCAAGTGTTCATGATGTTTGTCATAATTTTGATAACATTTAAGAATCCATTCTTCGGAAGATAAAGTGGTACACATACATAAATGTAAAGCCTTCGTGCTTCAATTTTTAGCTGTTAATCTTTCGAGGATCCTCATGATGAATATTGTTTTAAAAAATAAGTATAAATAAAATAGCAATAATATATCGTCAGTTATATCCAATATTACTTTAAAATTTCGACTACATAGTAATCGTGGCTTTTTGAAAGAACGGCTTACAGCTCAAAGGTTGAACATGTCTCCCTATGCTCAAATGTTGTTGAAGACTTTGAATTTGTGAACATTTCAGAATATTACATTAGAGACCACATATTTTTTAACCGATTCTGGAATTTTTTGCTGCTTTATAAACAACCTATTGCGTCGTTAAGTTGTAATTTCGTCTAACACAAATTTTAGCAAAGAAAATTTTACTTTTATATAGGCATACATTTGTTTTAGAGGAATAAGCTGAAATTACTTACGCCAGTGGGAAGTACGTTGGTAATGTGTAGGCATCCATCCCTTTTTAATGAAATCATGCGACTAATAGTTTAGTAAAGTTATATGTTATGTGAAGGAATGTTTCCGTTGTACTTATCGGTGATTATAAATGCTTATTGAGTTTCATCTACTATAACATCACTTTAAATTCCGTTAACTGCTAACAGAGATATTCTACATAAGTTTGAATTTTTTTCACAATTTTAGCAATCACGCAGTTGCATACATACATCCTCATTATATTATAAAATTGGTGGATAAGATTGATATCGCTTTTTCGAACATAAACGATTTGCCGGCGGGTAGTCTCGTTTTGGATTGCGGCAAAATTTTATTGCGGTTTATTCGTTGTTTTACATTTATGTTTTCAATTAATATTTTAAAATTTTTTCTGTATAATTAAATTATAATTTCAATGCAGTATAAATTATATTATATTTTTTTGCTGTTTTACAGATGTTAAACTTTTTAAATTACACAAGTTAATGTTCAAACATACTAATATATACGAGCTGATTTTGATATATGCATGTAATATTAAATCCAGCGCTGTTTAATTAAATATGAAAACGAAGCGTTCGTATAGGTATGTGAGTATATATAAATAAATATGTGAACATATAGCGAAAGTGGACAATCTATGCGCGTACGTGCACCTTTTACTTGTGTTATGGTCGTACTGAATATCAGGAAGTCGAGCATGGATGCAAGCGCAAACAACTTGTATCTGCAATGTTTGCTTATTGTAGCTAGAGCAGAGACGATTCAAGTATGAACAAACGTACGAAATAACAGCGGTAGCAATACGACAAAGCGATCGACAAAAAACAACAAGAACATCAATGTTAATGCAATGAAAGACAACTAAAAATGCCTCGAAAACTAACAAGAAAATACATGACTGGCAGTTAGATATTGGACATACTACCACACATACATCCTTATCCAACATCTTCAACATACAGACGAAGCTGCTTTGGCATGCTATGTTGTGAAAAGCAGGTTGTATGGTGGCTGCTGAGTGAAACAATTGAGTACACACGATCGTGTCATCATATGAGCAAAGAGGCTGCTAACTCCTGTATTTCTCGAGTATTGCAAGTAAAAATACCACATCGTTTTTACACACGATAAGAGAGAGTTGTGTTTATTTAAGCAAATAAAACGGTTCTCTTTTCTAAATAATATCTCTTTTGTGTTAGATTTGTTTACTTATCTGTATAAGTATACATATATGTACATTAGAGCGGGACGATTTTTTAAATGAAACGCATATGTGGGGAATATTATACGGGTCATTCTGAACAACATTGCCTGAGAGACTATGGGTCTAAAACCGGTTTCGAGCCAGGGATTTTCAAGGCTAAATTTTAAAAATCTGAATATTTGGTGTTATGGGTGTACAGCAGCGAGCAATGAAATAGTGGTTAGCATTCGTTAAACAATTTTTGATATATATTTCGCACTAAATATGGTATTGATACCAATTAATTTTAATTAAAAATCGTTATTTTGTAGAACAGATATCATTGTGATATTTGTAACTCCCAGCTTAAAAATTAGATTTTTTGAATTAAATTTACCATGCGGTATTCATATAGTGAAACGAATGTTCACATCCTTCGTAGTGTTCCTTCATTAAAAAATCACATATGTAACTCGAAGTCTTAAATTTGTACAGAAATATCTTTGGACTTGAGTATGAAAAAATTTTTTTATGGCCGAATGTGGTGTCCCCTAACAAAGTGTGATCCACCAAATATTACAAAGGCTTTAGAACATATTGTATATGCAAATATAGTTCTGCCAACATCTGAAGGCATTTACAGGGTTTTGATCATTGCAAGTTTCGTGAGTAGGATATGTTCCGTTACACGCGTACATAGCTCTACTTACTTGTTATAAATGTTGATGCTCCTCTCTAATGAGTGTTCTTTTACCAGAATTTAATATTTTTGGGCAACTTGTTCATGACAATTTATTGGTTTTCGAATTATGGCGTTTTGTAGCCGCTTTCGGATCATCTACGAACTCGTCCTCGCTTTTTTGCCAAGAAACATACATAGATATGTATGTACCAAGTTTCCTTAAGATATCAAACTTTTTACTCAAGTTATCGCTTGCATTGGCGGTCAGACAGACAGTCACCAGGAATTCAAGTCGTATCGTCATTTTGATCATATACATACATATGTATATGTATGTCCATTTAAATATAACTAATATCTAAGAGATACAAGCAAAAGTTAGGTGAAGAAAACTATTGTACTCTGCAGCAACATGTTGCAAAAGGTATAAAATTAGCATCACACAAGGGCCTAAGATTAAATGGTTTCGCGCTGAAGTATAAACATTATAATTGCATACTAAGCATAAATATAACCCATGTGTACACGTTAATGCGCGCACCCAATCGTATGTGTTTAGATTATATAAACACAAGCGTACATATCCACATTTATATAATTTTATATATATACATATGTAAAATGCTTTTAAACAGAAATTAATGTAAAGTTTGCACATACATATGTAACTGTGATTGAAGCAGATACTATATTTTATCGTATACTCGTAAAAGCAGGTATAAACTATGCTATTCGCTTTGGTGCTGTAAATTTTTGTTCTTGCTGCATTTGCTATTGTACACTTTGACATATATACATATGTATACTCGAACTGTCGCATTACGAAAAAAGTGTAAGTACATAGCATTCATATGAATGTACGTATATACTTGTAAGGAAACGAACAAGATTTTACAATTAGATTTTCCTGTAATGTATTCTTGGAAGTATATGTACATTAAAATACATATGTATGTATGTATATATAAAAGAATTAATTATGCAATAACCATATGTTTCATTATTTTAATTTGGAACGTTGAGCAACACCAACAGCTCCGTCAGAATCGGGAAGGACTTCTCCGAGCCGTTCGATACCAAACGAGGATTCAAACAAGACGACTCTCATCCGTGTGACTTCTTCAACCTACTTCTGGAGAAAATAATTCGAGCGGCTGAACTAACCCCAGAAGGTACTATCTTCTTATCGTATGCTGATGCTATTGATATCACTGGCCTTAACAACCGCGCCGTACTGCTTGGGTCTGATGGTGAACAAGGGCAAGACGAAATATCTCCTGTCCTCACCCAAACAGTCGTTGCACTCGAGACTAGGCACCCACGACATTTCGAAGTCGTAGATAATTTCGTCTATTTTGGAACCTGCATCAACACCAACAACAAGGTCAGCCTCGAAATCCAACGCAGAATATCTCTTGACAACACATGCTACATCGGACTAATTAGACAATTGAGAAGTAAAGTCCTCTCTCGAACGAAAACAAAACTTTATAAATCAGTAATTATTGCCATAATACACTCCAGCTCTGCGTTCGGGGGAAGATTCTACTCCGTTGGAAGGGCTAGGAGGAGAAGGACCTGGCTTCGCTTGGAATCTTCAATTGGCGATACCTTGAGAAAAGAAGATGTGACTAACGCGCGGTTATTAACTCGTCTATAACCTACGCTAGTAAAGAAGAAGAAGAAGACAAATACATCACACTAACATTTCTAATTCTCATAATATCAATATCATCACATATTGGAGAAGTAAATTGGAAATCATTCTCTGTACAATGTGGTCGGAAGAAAAGTGTCAGCCTATTAGAATTTAATTGTGCTCTGTCCAATCCTCAAAACAGAAGACCTAACAATCGCATATAAGGTTATATAAAGCGTATTGTGTGAAAGATTAAAGTCCACCGTCAATAAACAAATTGGGCCTTAGTAAGGTGGCTTAAGGACTCGAAAATCAACACATGACCAGATATTCATTAGTCTTAGAAAAGACCCGTGAAAAGACCATCGATATACACGACCTCTACGTCGATTTCAAAGATGCTTTTGATACCATGGAAAGGAACTGCTTTTATCCCGCTATGTTTGAATTTGGTATTCCTGCAAAACTGTGTAAACTGACGTTGAGTTATCCCGAAAGCTTCGAAATAATTCGAACCACAGAGCTAATCGAGAAGGCACAATAGTTTATAAAAGGATTAAGCTGCTGACGGAAGCCGAAACCATCGATATCGTTTGCCATAACAACCGTTATATATGCTTTTTCCAAGATGGAAGAAGAAGCGGAACAAATGGATCTGGTACCGAACGAAAGCAAGATGAAATATCTCCTGTTATCAAGCAAACAGTCGTCGCACTCGCAACTTGGCTCCCACATCACTGTTGACAGTCATAATTTCGAAATCATAGATAATTTCGTCTATGTTGGAACCGGCATTGACACCAACGAATAAGTCTTGCCAACAGGTTCTACTTCGGACTGAGTAGACAATTGAGAAGTAAATTTCTCCCTCAAAGAACAAAGCCCACATTCTACAACCCCCTCATCATCCCAGCCCTGCTATATGGTGAAGCATGAACGATGACTGATGAGTTGGCATTACAAGTTTTCGAGAGAACGATTCTGCTTAAGATGTATGCAGAAGCAGAGGAAGAGGAAAACCTMCACTCCGATGTAAAAACCAGGTGAAAAAGGACCTGACTACACTTRGARTCTCCRATTGTCGCCAAACAAAAGATAGAACGAGTGACGCGTAAACGGTATATTYGCCAATAAAGAAAACAAACAATTAAATAGTAGTGAATAAAAAAGTAATCTTGATTAATTTTATTATTTTTTTATCAAAGATATTTTTGTGGTTCTTTATATTAAGTAATTGGTGGTATAACCTTTATTTTTAGTCACAACTCTACAACGTCACTTCATAGAGTCCGCTGGTATTACGAACGTGTTCGGAGATATAGTTCGCCGTGAACCCCTATCGGCGGACAACTTCTCGTTGTTGTTTTTGGGCAAAGCATAACAAACACATTTCTTTATATAAGTCTACAGGATTTCAATGGGATGGAGGTCAGGAGAACGAGCTGGCTAATATATACCCTCACTTCCAATGATCTGATACCAAATCTATGACAGCCCACTGGCGAATTTTAAGTCAACTTCAAAAAATTTCAAAATAGAGCGAATTTCTTCATTATTTTCACTCATTTTGGAACAGTTGTAACTTTTTTCCAACATTCTGGAATTTATCTACTTTTTTGGTTAACTGAAGATATACTACTGCATCTATTGACAAAATCTTACTAATTATTATATAATATTCTTTTTTACTGGCGTAGAATTCGCTTACGCGTTTATAGCCGAGTAAACACCAGCGCCAGTCGTTTCTTCTTTTCGCAAGGTGGCGCCAATTGGATATTCAAAGCGAAGCCAGATCCTTCTCCACCTGGTCGTTCCAACGAAGTAGTCTTTCTCTTCCTCTGCTTCCCCGGGCGGATTCAGCGTCGAATACGAAGAGCTGG